ATTAGGAACTGCAAACCTTTCACAGATTTCCAAGACAAGAATGGGGTTTCTTTAGCACCTGAAGGAAACAGCTCTTAATTAGGGAGATGTCTGCTGAACTCAACACAACTTCAGTGAGGGCAATTAAAGCTTAGAGGATCACCAACATGTGTCTCTTGTTCCATTCAAAAATGTTGACACGTCTCCACTGTAGCACAATTTCAGTTTCATAGCATGTGTTGAGAAACTCTGCTTCCAGCTGCTTTGGGTGTTGGTTCTTGGACAGCTGCTGAAATGCGTGGTTTTATTTTTTCAGTCCCCATGATTATCCTCACAGAGATTTTAATCACTGGCTGCAATTTAGCTAACCGTGTCCTCCTTCACACATCGGCTATGTCTATACTCGCAGCTTCTTGCAAGAGAAATATGCAAATGAGGCTAAGTGTGGAATATCGCTGAACCTCATTTGCATACCTAATGAGCTGCCATTTTTGCAGAAGAGGCTCTTGTGCCAGAAGGAGCTGTCTACACTGCCTCTTCTTGCAAAAGAAAAACCCTCTTGCGCATTGCCGTTACGCCGATTGTTTTCAGGAATACAGCATTGCACAAGAGGGATTTTGTAGCTCAAGAAGGTACAGTAAAGACAGCTCCTTCTGGCTCAAGAGCCTCTTCTGCAAAATGGTGGCTTATTAGGTATGCAAATGAGGCTCGGCGATATTCTACACTTAGCCTCACTTGCATATTTCTCGTGCGAGAAACCGGGAGTGTAGACATAGCCCTCCTGTCCTCCTCTACCCTAATTCTGAGAGCTCTCATAGCATGGTCAATACTAGCTCCCGGCAGCTTTCTATCTAGGCACCATAAATTCACCAATTCAAAGCTAGACAAATGTTACCATTTACTGCACTTCTAGACAGACAAGACAATTGGTGGATAAGGTAACCAAGCTGATTATTGGAATCTAAACTCCTTGCTCCTTCCGTCTAATCCCAGAGTGCCAGGCCATCATCCATCATGAGTCAGTCATCATATGGATGATCTAAGAAATGGAGTGTAAAAGAGGTCTTCTAGTTCCTTGGACATTCTCCCTCTTCCTACTTGCTTATATTTACATTTGATTTGAAAGAGTTTCTTTACCACAGAAATAAAGATTTTCTGATAGGAGAAAAGATGCTGGTAATTATGACAATTTAATCTGCCTTGTAGCACTGTGCTTTGGAAAAGAACAAGAAAACAGCAAACGAGAATAAATCCTTGTCTGGTGTGAATTATGCAGAACTAGAAAGGACAAGATAATTTTCATCTTTTAGAGATGCACAAAACTCTCTCCCCTTTGTTCAATAATTCCGTGAGTGGCTACTGCACAGCTGGGAAAGGTTATGCAGTTGCCAAATACAAGTATGTTGAGCAAAACTGCATGTCAGAACACCAAGCTTTATTAATAATGTTCCTCAGCACAGGAAGGCACTGTGTATATGGGGCGCGGAGGAGGGGAAAGACAACTTCAAAGGCAGCCTTATAGCTACACGATCACTGGCTGGAACACAGTGGGACTAAAAGCAGCTAGAAACAACGGCATCGCAATGATCAAAGGCACCTTGATTAGGGAGCTGTAATTGTGGCTGCCTGAATGGATTATTCAAAATAGACTAATGGTAGCTCAATGGCTGCATCTGTGAAACAAAATGTCAGGCTACATTGAATATCTTGATACAAAAGATGTTCCTCTTTCTCCTGGGGGAGGCTGGCAGTATACAGCAAAGATGATCATGGGTTAATTTATACAGAGCATAGTTGTTCATGGTGCTAGGTGTTTGTTTGCCTTTTTAAGAACTATTTTTTAAGAATTGTCTATTTTATCTATCTCTGTCCCACCTTCATGATGCCCATCATCACGGCTTCGGAGCACTTCTCCAAATTCCGAAGTGTATGTAAGAAGATGTATGCATTTCTTTCTCCTTCTGTCAGCAGAGATAAGGTGTTGGCTGGTCGGTTAGTGCTGCTGGGGTAGGAAAAGGAGGGTGAAAGAGTAATGGGACTTGCATTTTGGACTGAAGGTGCCAATGTTTGCAATTGTTTACTGTCCTGCCCCCACCCAAATAGAGAGGCAGCAGCACGGAGGGTGAAGGGTGCAGGTTATGATGGCGTGTTGGGGTTTCCCCATCTCTTGCACCCCCGTAGTGGCACGAACAGACTCCGCCAGCCAGTAGGACTGAGGGAGTTTATTGCTTCTCCAAGATACAGCACAGCACAGATGCAATCTGGTTACAGGAACTGGGGCTAGGAGGCCTCAGGGCAACCCCCTTGAGATGGGGGGTGGCTGGGCCCTACAATCCCAACCCCCTCCCTAGCCCCTTCTCCCCTGCTTCCCCAACAGAAACTGACTCTCTTCCAGCCCTGCCCCCCAGACAGGGGTTGGTCTCCACCTTCCTCCCTTTGTCTCTCTCCCTGGGAGGCAACCTGTCGGACAGGTTGTGAGACCCTGCCTAGTGACTGTGACCCTGCCAACTGTCCTGTTGGGCTGTGCTACAAATAGCCGCTAGTGGAGGTCACCCACTGCCCAAGCCCAGCAACCAGCAAGGCACCACCATGCCACACTGGGTTATAGAGCAGATAGCACGCCCCCACTATGTCACAGCTGTCACCCCTCCGAGAGCGAATTGAGCAGGGTCACTCCGCTTGTGGCCTGGGGAAGTTCAAGTCCCCTGCCCGGGAAAGCCACAGCGGGGACACTGGCGCTCTCCTTGGCTCAGGCCAGCCGGCGGCAATGC